TTAGGTATTTATTACTTGTATATATTGTATATAGTTATTGTACTTTTATATATAGTTTTTCTTTTGTTAGTTATAACCCTTTGCTTTTTTTCTTTTTTATTAAAATAGAAAAGGGGAAATATGGTGGTATTCTATTTGTACTGAAATGTGATTTTAATTGTATGTTAATAAATAAAGTTGCCCAGGAGTCAGAGCTATTAGAGCCATAGAAAGAGGGTGGCGGTGGTGGTGCATGCCTTTAATTCCATAGATCTCTGTGTGTTCAGGGATACAGCCAGCATTGGAGACATACATCTTTAAGACCTGGAGGGCTGTACTTACAGTCAGTAATGAGGCAGTCATGTGTTTGGGTTTATAACCAATGAGAAGGCAGAACAGAAAGACTATTTAAAGACAGACACACAGGAAGTAGGTCTCTTTTGGGGAGCTAGGAGCACCACAGGAGGAAGGATAAGATTTTAGCTCTGAGCTCTGACCTCTCGGCTTTCTCTTTTACTATGGTTCTGTGTTTCTTATTTAATAAGACAGTTGGTTACATCTACAAATATCTACATTAACAGCATAGTCAGTGCTAGGGTGACCTTTAATATGACACCATACACATATGTCATGGGTCTCCTTGTTAATGAGTAATCCACGTGACTTGAACTTGTTACAGGGAAGCACATTCAATTCTACTCTGTACATTTGAACTGTTTGGCAGTTTTATGAGCATTGATATGTGTGGTGGTTTGAATAGGTATGGCCCTCATAGAGTCATGTGTTTGAATGCCTGGCCCCATAGGAGGTGTGGCCTTGTTGGAGGAAGTGTGTCACTATGGGGACAGGCTTTGGGGTCTCATATATGCTTAAGCCATGCCCAGTATGATGGTTCACTTCCTGTTGCCTGTGGATCAAGATGCAGAACTCTCAGCTCCTTCTCTAGCATCATATCTGCCTGCACACCACCATGTCCCGCCATGATGATAATGGACCCTGAAACTGTAAACAAGCCCCAGTTAAATGTTTTCCTTTATAAGAGTTGCTGTGGTCATGGTGTCTCTTCATAGTAATAGAAACCCTAACTAAGATAATGTGTTAAGGCTTGATTTATTTGTGTGTGTGTGTGTGTGTGTGTGTGTGTGTGTGTGTGTGTGTGTATGTGTCTCTGTGTCTGTCTGTCTGTGTGCACATGTGTCTTGTTACATATGTGTGCATATGTAGCAATCCCACTAAAATAACAAGTAAAAGGTTGTTCACTCTCTCCATACCCATTCAGATTTTTTTTTTTTTGCAGATGATATGATAATGTAAGTGATCCTAAAAATTCTTCTGGGAAACTATTACAGCTGATAAATACTTTCAGCAAAGTAGCTAGGTGCAAAACTAACCCATGAAAAAGTTTTAGCTCTCTTATATACAAATGACAAACGAATTAGAAAAAAATTAGGGAAACACCTTTCACAATAGCCTCAAATACTATAAAATGCCCTGGGGTAACCACGCAAGTAAAAGTCTTGTATGATAAAAACTTAAAGACACTGGAGAAAGAAACTGAAGATATCAAAAGCTGGAAAGATCTCCCATGCCCACAGACTGGTCGGATTAATATAATGAAAATGGTCATCCTACCAAAAGCAGTCTACAGATTCAATTCAATCCCTACCAAAATGGGAACACAGTTCTTCATAGATCTTGAAAGGACAATTTTTAGCTTTGTGTGGGAACACAAAACACCAAGGTTAGATAAATAACCCTGAATAATAAAAGATAGCTGGAGGTATTACCCCAACCTCAAATTATACTACAGAGCTATAGTAACAAAACCAGCATGGTATTGGCACAAAAACAAAGACCCTCACACAATGTGGCTTTTTGTAGTGGTTTAAATGAGCACGGCCCTCCCATAGGCTCATACATTTGAATGTTTGGTTACCAGCTGGTGAACTGTTTAAGAATGATTAGGGGATGTGGCCTTGCTGTGTGTCACTGGGGGGTAGGCTTGGAGGTTTCAAAAGTCAGTGCCAGACCCTCTCTCTCTCTCTGTCTCTCTCTCTCTGTCTCTCTCTCTCTCTCTCTCTCTCTCTCTCTCTCTCTCTCTCTCTCTCTCCACCTCCATATCATGGATCAGATGTGAGCTCTCAGCTACTACTCCAGCACCATGTCTGCCTGCTGTCATCTTCCCTGCCGTGACAGTCATGGACTAGCCATCTAAAACTGTAAGCAAGGCCCCAATTATTTGTTTCCTTTTATAAGTTGTCTTGGTCATGGTGTCTTTCACAGCAATAGAACAATAACTAAGCCGTCTTCAAAAGTTGATTAGTGCAATGAGGATGGTTGTACACATGTAGAAATCATATCCCAATGTGGGGAAATTAAAACATTGAATAAGTGGAATTATGGAAATAAATACAAGGTAATAAGAAACATACAGGAGCCAGGTGGTGGTGGTGCATGTCTTTGATCCCAGCACTTGGGAGGCAGAGCCAGGCAGATCTCTGTGAGTTTGAGGCCAGCCTGGGCTACAGAGCGAGATCCAGGACAGGCACCAAAGATACACAGAGAAACCATCTCAAAAAAACAAAAACAAAAAAAAGTAAAAAAGAAAGAAACATACAGATTTCCTTTCCCACACAGAAAAAAATGTGGGGATATCTCAGAAGAAATACTTTGAAAATTGAACATGAAAGGCTATCTTTTTTTTTTTCCTTGTTTCTGTGATAAAACACTCTGGCAACTTAAGGGAAATCTTACCTTACAGTTCAAGGTACAGTCCTTCATGGGGAAGTCTAGGCAGGCCAAAGCATGAAGCCACTGGACACACAGAATGCAGAATACTGAAGCATAGAGGAACGGATCCATGCTGCCTGATGTTCAGGTCCCTTTCTCCGCAAATGCCAGGAAATGGTTCCATCCTCCATAGTGGACCTTCCTACTGTAATGAAAACAATCAAGGTGTGCCCATGAGCATGCCCAGAGGCCAGTCTCCCAAATGGTTCTAGATTCTTTGAAGCTGACAGTTAACATTAAAACACAAAAGGTTAACTAACACTCTTACTAACAGTTGAGGAAATTCAAGTCATTCATAATTTGTTGCTTGCAAGATTGGTAGTTACACGGTGGTGGTGGTGGTGGTGGGGATGGTGACCATCTTTAGTTGTCACAAGAATTAATAGCATTTCTGCATTTTCCTAGGAGAAACTGCCCAGAAAATTTTAAGCTTATCCCAACCTTTGACTTGGGAATTATGTTTCCTTCACTGTGTCCTGAAGGCGTAGTTGTATTATCAAAAATATCACCTATAAATTTTAGTGTAAAATTCTTAATAATTGTGTGGAAAAGGGACAGTTAATGTCCAGTAATCAGGGAATGGTATAGAAATCAACTTTGACTCATAAAATGAAATTTTAGGTGGTTGCAAAGAAAGGTGCTTGAGAAATCATTTAAATAAATTAAGAGAGAATAATGCAGTGTAAGGCACATATGTATATGTTTTTATCTGTAAAGTGACTCTGTGTGTGTGTGTGTGTGTGTGTGTGTGTGTGTGTGTGTGTACCATAATCTGAAAGCTACAGGAACGTTGCCTAAAATACTACCTTTCAGTGACTTCTTTTTTTTCTTTTTGCACTTCACAAATTTTCGGTAATTAATATGCAGTGTTATTTTTACTTGGAGTAGAAAATTTCAAAGTTGCAAAAAGCACAGAGAATAGTTCAATGAACTCCTGTGTGTCTGTCATTCCATTTCAACAATTTTCTACTGTAGTTTTTTTAAGGAAAAAATATTGAAAGAAGTTAGAGCTAGCTAACCAGCTAGAAACTCTAGTGTTCCATCTATTGAAACAATTGTGATTCATCATCATATATTTTATATCTTCCCTTAAAGAAAAAAAAACTTGGTTTTTTGGTAGCCCAAATACCATTTTTAAATGAGGTACTGACCTCATTGCCAAAACTTTGGAGAGGAAAGCTAAACTTGTTTTAGTGTTATTAATGAAGATAGATCAAATAATATGATTTCTTATATATTTTTTAATCATAGCAAAACCCATCTCTTTGCTTTCTAGAAGCTTCTCATAGGTCTCCTAATCCATGAAGAAGAAGCCGATAGGTGGTAGCATCTAAAAGATGATGTGGCCAGTGTGTAGGGGTTCCCACTATGTCTCTTCACCTAGTTTGGGGATCAGAGGAGAGCTTGGCATGGCACACTTACAGCAGAGGGTCATCCTGCCTCCCGCTCCAGGAGCACTTTCATTCTTAAATCCAGAATTTGGCGTACAGTGCATGTATGCGAGTGGATATTATAAGAAGCTTTCAGAAGAAGTTAAAAGCTATATACACTCCGAAGAATTGTGTGCTTACATCCAAAAAACAGACTTCCATGAGTTTAAATATTTTCCCTCTGAAGAATAAAAGAGATGCCGAATGTACCCTGTAGTATATTTATAACTTAAAGCCTTCCTTCCACATTCCTGTGTTTTCTACCAGGCTTTAAAGACCCATTTTTCACACTGTGTGTTAGTGGATGTCTATGCACTTTGATGGACTAACCCCTCTGGAGAACTTTAATGTGTGCTATTTTTTTTAAACACCCAGGATAGCGTGCTTTTGGAAGGTGGAACACTGTTTGTACCTTTTATTTCTATTAGGCTTGAGACTGTGGTTCTGAGACATTCTCTATAACTGGACTGTAAAAATAATAAAGCCATGACAACATGAGCATAAATGTAATGAATGCCATGCTTTCATGTGGAGAAATGTCAATATCTATTGACATTTGCTCTCATGGCATATTTTAGGCCACATTATATTTATTGTTTCTGGCTTGATTACCCTGCTCCATTAACTCGGTAATTCCATTATAGTTTAAGGGGGATTTTAGCTGCTGGGTTTTAGTTTAAATTTTATGCACAGTCCAGAAGGGCTTGGCCACTGAATACATTTCATATAAAACAAACAAATAATTAGTGAGTAAAAGCTGTTTTGAAGGGGCAGAAAAGAACAGAATGAAGATTAAAAAAAACTTTCTAATAACACACACTAAGAAATTGCTCATCGGGTCACAGCCATGAGCTGTGTCAAGGGTATTCTTACGTTTCTCAGTTGGTAGAAATTCACACAGTAGAGGGAAGAGTATCATCACTGTGGGCATACATGCTAAGCCCATGCAGACAGGACAAACAATGACAGAGAGGGCCCATGGGGCGAGGAAAATGGGCGAATTGGTTTGTGACTGTATTTTAAATGTGACCCTGCAGAAATTTGATTACAAAAACTTTACCCTGTGACAAATCCTCGTTAAGGGCTACCAAAGGATCGGGGGTGGGGGTGGGGTGGGGAGGGGAGAGACGGGTTGGTTGATCAAGTGCTTGCTGCTCAAGCATCATGGGTTGGGTTTAGGTCCTCAGCACCTGCACAAAAAGCTGGAAACTGAGGCACGTCCCCATTTATCACTAGTTCTGGGAGACGGGGCCCAGAGGATTAAGTCTTGCTTAATCACTGAGCTCCAGTTCAGCTGGAAACCCTAACTGATAAGTAAGGAAGAGAGCAAGAGAGGAAGACATCCAGTATACACACACACACACACAAGAGGATATATTAGGTAAGGGCTTCATCCTGTGGTCGGTCTCACTTATAAAACATACAGACTCTAATGTGTTAAGGTTCACATCTGGCTTTAGTCTTCCTGTTCTCAGTCCAACAATTTGCCTAACGCACTGTTTTCTTCCGAAGGCCTTACAATATTATAAAAAGTAAACGCTTTCAAAGCCCTGAAAAAACAAACAAGTAAACTCACCCTACTTAGCATTTGTCACGCCGAACAAAGCCCCCTTCAACGCACTCCACGGTTCTCAGCTGAAGACAAACACTGTCAGTTAAATAAATAAATGATTTCTTCTGGGATCGGAAAGTTCGAGCAGGGGTGATTAATTTTCATGAGGTTTAACTCTGACAAAAATCTATGTGCTTGAAATAATAACCTTATGTACCTGCACACTCCCCCTATCTGTTAACATCAAGAGGAGCATTAGACAGTTCAGATATAAGCTGGAGTGGATGGTGGAGTCTGGACAATGGTGGGAAGGGAGGCCAGAAATTCTGTTTGTAGATTTCTGAGACGGTTTGCTGGCAGGCATCACAGGCTGAGCACTCTAGACGTGTGTATTGTTAGCAGCTGGAGTGAAAACTTTTTTTTTTTCTCTTCTGCGTGCAATGCTGGCATTTTACTTCCTCATCCTCGGAGTCCCTTAGAGAATGGTCTGTTAGCCTTTTTGGCTGCTTCCAGGGAGTAAATGGTAAATAAGAGCCGAGTTTGGGGACGTTCATAGCTATTGCTTGGGGAAATTGTACTGTAAATTTTAAACAGGAAGGGCAATTTAGGCAATGATCCCAACAGCTGTATGGCCCTTCATGTAATAGCAGCCCACCTGGGCTGAATTGTGGATTGTGACGCAGAGCGGAGTGCTCACCGTTCTGTGATGGATCATCCTCCAAAGGAAGCTCACAGCAAAGTAACATGTGGCGCTACTATCAGCGGGTCACCACGCCCCACCCCCCACCCCCCTCAGCAAATTCCCACTGCACTGAAAAATGGCTATGGTGACGTCACTCGGTGAGCTCATCACAACAGACTTTCCGCTAATGCTTTCATCATTTGGAATCTGAATTGAACATCTGAGCAATTCATTCTCAGTAACAAAGTCTTTGGGAAAACTGCTCCTTTGCTTTGCTAGAGGTTACATTGTTGCTGGTTTTAAAATCTATTTAACTCTCTGAGAAGGCAAACAAAATGCCATTTCCTTCATCTTTGACTGTAGCCAGCATCTAGGCAATGGGTTACATGGTAGGGTTTATGTATGGCATGCCCAATTCTGCAGTGCATAAAATCTTCGACAAGTGAGCTAAACTCAGCACAAATATGTCTTCTTGAGCCTAGTAGTTCACCACTGAACTATATGATTGATTGGCTTTCTCCAACTCTACTTCCAAAAAAAAAAAAAAAAATTAAAAAGAAGCATTTCCCACATTTCCATCAAGACCCTAAATCTACATTTTTCTATTTTTTTTCTGCATTCCCCAGTGTCCAAGAGAGGCATGGAGGCTTCTAGAAACATGAGTTCTTAGAAAAGGAAGGAGCTGAGACAGAGGGAAACCATGTGGTCTTGCTGTGAATCATCATGAACATGAGCCAAAGAAAAGCTGGGCAGAGCATCAAGCCCTGTTTTCTTTCCAGGTTTTGCTAACTCTGGCTGCGTTTTCCAAACATCGCAGGGGAAGTTCGGAGTTTCTGCGCTGGATTCCTCGGTCTTTCCTATGACCCGAAAAATTGCTTAAGCTTACAGATGTCTTCGAGATGGATGTGTCCCTACCTTTCAAAAACACATCAGTAATATAAGGTGTTCATTGGAGACTTCTCCTTCGTATGCTCAGACAAAAGCACGGGAAGAGTGATATTATATTTGAATGCAGAAGATGACTTGATTTTTAATAAGGCTGAATAGCTGCCTGCATAAATCCGTTAATCAGTTTTCTCTACTTGTTTTCTTTTGGTAATGTGGTTCCCATTATCCCTTTCATTCTGCCTTATTGCTGCTGAGCACGTGTTTAAAAATACAGTTAAAAATTGGTACTCTTGGTCCAATTCCAGGGGGTAAAATCAGCAGTAAAAAAAAGTAATCCAACAGCCTTAAGAAGAACCTTCCAAAGCATGAAAGAAAGAAAAAACAGGACAAGTACTAAACTTTGAATAAAAGAGCCAGAAATGAGGCCAGGAACCTCCTTTACATTGCAAGGCTCATACCAGCGTGATGTCTTTATCAATTAGGGTATTTTCTAACATTTATCTACTGCAAGTTTGGAGCCGTTTAGTTTATGGTTATGATTGTTCTGTGTGTGTGTGTGTGTGTGTGTGTGTGTGTGTGTGTGTTTCAGAGAGCAAAAGGTAAAGCCGCAATGTCCAGAGAGGCAGTAATACAGAAAGAATTTATGCTAGCTATGAATCTGTCTTGCTTCATTTACTGTTATTTATGGACGTGAGGTAGATACAGTACCTCAATAATCTGTATGTGCCGAATAGAATAATAAAATCTGTCTGTAATTTAATCTCTACAAGTTAAAGCAAAATGCGTGCACACACACTCTTTTTGTTACATCCACCACTACTACTTTCTTTCTTCTCTCTCTCTCTCTCTCTCTCTCTCTCTCTCTCTCTCTCTCTCTCTCTCTCTCTCTCTCTCTCTCTCTCTCT